ACTGATCAATGTCCCCCATTGGCTTGGAGTTTTTCCTCATTCAATTCATAGATACTTTGGATCTGCCTGTATTTGAGATCATGCCCTAACATTCTAATTTAATTCGAACATCAAATTCAAGTTTGTCCCTTTAAGAGAACTGATTAACAGTAGTAACTATAAGAGAAAATTTGGAGTCTTAGGGGACAATCACTTAAATACGAGCCAGCAGTGTACTGCAGCTGCCAAAAAAAAAAGCCAATGCAGTCCTAGGCTGAATTAACAGAGGGATAGAATCAAGAGCATGTGATGCGTTAATATCACTTTACTACCTCTATATCAGTGCTTCACTATGAAACTATGTGACTTAGTTTTTGGGGAGGAAAATAGGGGGGGGGGAATGTGCCTCTACCTACCAGCATCCATCAGTATTCATTTGGCTAGCATCCTGTCAGTGTGTGAGAGAGTTGAGGGCTGTTTGGAAACTGAAAGAGTATATACTGTGTGAGCAAGTAGGAGACAGCAAGGAGCCCCGGGCGTGGCTTAGCTCAACTGGTCTGTACTAAAGCTGGTTGCTGCTGTGAAACTGAAACTGAAATTCCTCTCCTCTGCTTGTGTTTTGCATTTGGAAGAGATTTTTTTTCAGGTGGGGAGGGGGAGTAGAACTCCTTAGCATTAGAGTGTGTTAATAATAATATATGAAATACTAATGCTCTGATGTTCATTTCGAAAAATCCTTTCTTAGTGAGCACCTAGAAGCCAAGAGGAACATACGTGCCAAATTTCAAGTTTGTAGGCTTTACAGTTCTGGAGATTTTGTGATGATGCGTGAGTGATATTTTGTTTTTATATAGATGGATAATAAGGCCATGAGAAGAGCACACTTGGAATGTTGCATCCAGTTTTGGTTGCCATACTATAAAAAAGATGTTGAGACTCTAAAAAGACTGCAGAGAAGAGCACCAGAGATCATTAGGGGGGACTATTCTAGTTTAATAAAAAGAAGGACTAGGGATGATATGATAGACGTGTCCCAATATCTAACAGGCTGCCACAAAGAAGAGAGAATCAATCTATTTTCCAAAGCTCTTGAAGTCAGGACAAGAAGCAATGGATTGAAACCAATCAAGGAAAGGAGCTTGAACTAAGGAGAAATGTCCTGACAGAACAATTGATCAATGGTAAGGTGACCAACCATCCTCCTTTAGGGAGGACAGTCCTCCTTTTGTAAGTTCTGTCCTCCTACATGTCCTCCTTTTTGATATTTGAAGACTAATCTGTAAATCTCCGTATTTGATCAATGTCGATCTGAACCGTTGTATGTGATGTGACGTATTTGTTTTTGACATGGTGATTCCTCAAGGGTCGGCACAGTGTGGCGAGATGCTTATGAGACGTATGCGCTCCCCACAGGAGAATTGTTTTGAGAGAGTGTGCCATGTGCAAGAATGTACCATGCGCAAGTGGCTTTGTTTTTTTTCTTCAATTTATTTGTGTCCTCCTTCTCATAGTAAAAAAGTTGGTCACCTTATCAATGGAGCAACTTGCCTCCAGAAGTTGTGGGTGCTACAACACTGAACGATTTTAAGGAGAGATTGGTTGCAGAGTCCCTGTCTCGTTTGCTTGTAGTAACACCGCCCCAACTGCTACGTCACTCGCATCGGCTTGGATTACAAAAGGAGCGTCCATGTCCGGGTGCTTGAGTACTGGTTCAACAGCAAACAGTCATTTCAGCTTCTCAAAAGCGGCTTGACATTCCATGGATCACCCCAGGGGTTTACTAAGCTTAGGTTTCACCTCCCCTTTGGTTTTTAGGAGATTTGTGATAGGCATTGCAATCTTCGCAAAAGCAGGGATAAATTGACGGTAAAAATTAGCGAATCCCAAGAAACTTTGAAGTTGTTTCCTGTTGTGGGGAGGGGCCCATTCCAAAATGGCACGAACCTTTCCCGGATCCATTTCTATGCCATCATGTGAGATGTGATAACTTAAATAGTCAATTTTTTCCTGGTGGAATTCACACTTAAACAACTTTGCATACAGCTCAGCAGCTTGAAGTTTTTCCAGAACTGACCTCACTAGTTTCACATGTTCATCACGAGTCTCCATGTAGATAAGAATATCATCAAGATAAATCAACACCCCTTTGTATAGATGTTCATGCAACACCTGATTGATCATTTGCATGAATACTGCAGGAGCCCCCTGTAGGCCAAATGGAAGAACGTTGAATTGGAAACAACCCATTGGGCAGTTAAAAGCAGTTTTCCATTCATCCCCTTCCTTAATTCGAACCTGGTAGTATGCTTCTCTCAAGTTGAGTTTTGTAAAAAATTTCCCTTTGGCCAAGTGGGCCAACATATCCTTCATCAAGGGGAGCGGGTACACGTTCTCCACTGAAATAGCATTCAGGTTTCTATAGTCAACACATAAATGAAGGGAGCCATCTTTCTTTTCACGGAACAATACTGGGGCTGCTACCCGGGGTCTAGCGAGTTGGATGAAACCACGTTCCAAATTCTTATCGATAAATGACCGCAGCTCTTCTAGCTTCCGCGGTGTCATCGAGTAAAGTTTCGGTTTTGGGAGTTTCACCCCGGGTAGAATTTCAATACTGCAATCTGTTGAACGATGGGGGGGGAGCTCATCCGAGGCCTTTTCACTGAATACGTCCTTTAAGTCCCAATATTCCTCTGGAATTTTCTCCTCCCCCTTCAGGTTCTCGGTTCCAGTGGAGGCCAGCTCAGTGGGATTCTTGAGTTTCGGTTGAGATTGCCCTTCCCCTTCTGGGTATTGGTCAGTACGTATGCGCAATGATCCTCTCCTCCAATCAACGTGGGGGTTCCATTTCTGGAGGCAGGGCAACCCCAGTATTAGGGGCCGCTCCATCCCAGGAGCCACAATAAAACACAAAGTCTCTCTATGCTTCCCCATCGTCATTTCTACTGGTTCCGTTATGAAATGTGCAGGGCTGCCCCCAGCTACCGATCCATCCAATTGGCAAAAGGCTAAGGGCGTTTTTAAAGTCTTCAGCCTTAAGCCCATTTTCTCCACTACCTCCGAGCTGATTACACACCTTGTGCACCCAGAGTCTAACAAGGCCAGCATTTCCCCTTTGGCCCCCGACGTGGGTACCCTTAATCTCAATGGAATGGTCTAGGGCCCTTGTTTGGACTTACCAGTGAGTCGTCTTCCGTTTCGGATTCACTCTCTTCAGAAGAGGTTGGAGTTCCCAGCTCCTCTCCTTTTGGAGGGGCGATCTCTACAACCTCCTCTGCGTTAAGTGCCGTTTCGCGAGGCTTTGCTGGGGTTTTTTCAGGTTTTCTTCCTCCTCCTGGTGCCCCCTTTGGTTCTAGCTTGGCACAGCAATCTGCAGCCCAGTGACCTTCCTTCCCACATTGGAAGCAAGCAGTGGTCTTGGGTTTTGCCACCATTCCTCCCTTTTGAGGTGTTAAGGCTTCTCGAGGGCTGGTGAGGGAGGATTTGCTCCAACCAAAAAAACCCCAGCATCTGTTTCAGGTCAGATCAATTTCCACCTCTGCCGCCAGCACGTACCACAGCTGCAGCTCACTGGGGTCTCTTCTGGCAATACAGCTTTGATATACATCTTCATTCAACCCATCTTTAAAAGCTTCTATCAGGGCTCCCTGGGACCAGCCTCGAATATGACACACCAGCTCTCTAAATTCCTGGGTGTAGTCGGCCACTGATCTCCGCCCCTGATTTATGGTCTTCATCCTAATTCTGGCCTTACATTCAGCAAGTGGGTCTTCAAACCTGGCCCGCAGCGCAGTCATGAACAGGTCATAATTCATCAGCTGAGGGGCATTATCATTATGCAAAGTCACCATCCACTTTGCAGCTGTTCCCTCCAGAGCCCTGGTAACACATCTAACTTCGGCTGCTTCTGAGGAAAAATCCCCTCCATATTCCTCCATATGGCTCCAGACTTGTGCCAGGAAGAATCCTAACTCCTTGGGATCCCCCACATATTTTACTTCCAACGGGGGCACCTTTGGAGTTCTACGTCTTCTGGCAATTACTCCTCCCGCTGGGGGCCCCTGGGCTGCTGCTGCCTTTTGCGCTAGCCCAGGTTGATTTATGGGGGTGGCTGCTCTGATTCTTCTGGCTGGGGCTGCTTCCCCCTCCTCTCCCTCATACCTTTGATCAGTTTGAGGTTCTCCGATAGCTTCATTTAGAAGATGCATGGCTTGAGTTAGTAAAAAATTCTTTCTTTCCTTCTCTTGCCATGGCTCCTCTGTTCCACGCCGACGGGTAGTGGTCACTCCTGGAGGAGGCTTTTCCTCAGGATCCTTCCAACCGACTCCCAGGGACCATTTGGGTTTTACAGCTGGTTTTTCCCCAAGATTTAGTTTTGCTAACAAATTGGCTTCCCCTGCTTCCTCTAGCAGCAGAGAATCTTGTCCTCCAGTTGCTCCCAGGTCTTCTTGGTTGCTGGCTGGATTTGACATTGTGTTCAGATCCCCTCGGAAGAAAATTTATTATTTCTCCGGGTAGGCTGGTAATGTGGAGATTCAGAATAATGTCAGCTGGTACTCCATTCAAAATCCAAGAAAGAAATAGTTAGACTCTTTTAATCAGAGAAAAGATATCTTTTACTGGAAATCAAGTGGTAGCAACAAAAGAATTCTGAATCTGAGAAAATGGGCGCGTAAATCACATATACAAAGTAATGGCAACGTTCCCACCCCCAATATTTCAATTGGCTCTTCCAATTAAAAGTTGTGTGTATCATCATGTGGGCATCTCTAGGTGGTAATGAGGCTTCTGTCCGTTGACCTTGACATAGTTTGATAAAGGGTTGCAGCTGCACATAGCATAGGATGGAAACCTAAGCAAGAATGTACCCCCCCCAGCTTATACAGTTCTGGTTTGTAACACCTCCAGCTCACTTCCCATAACCATTCCCCCCTCCTCCCCCCGTTACTTATGACAGCCGAAAGATGCAAAGCAAAGGGAGAAAAATCTTGAAGGAAAAATCTTGAAGGCTGACAAACAGTACTGCAGGATTTGTTCTATATTGCTGCAAAAGGATAGAATGTTGGATGACAACATGGGAGACCTAGTTTAATCCAGGGATAGCCATGTAAACTCACTGATAAGCTTGAAGTTATCAGAACAGTCCTATTTAGTATATATGCTTTTTTGAGTTCCTGGAAAAAAGGTGGAATATAAATCTTACAGAAAAAACAGTTCAACTGACTGCTATACACAGTAATATTAACCTCAGCTCTTGCCATTGTGCCAACTTCTGAACATTCATTTGAGATTTTAAGAGTCTCATGTTTTTTTCCAATCCCCTTTTGATCAATCCTTGGGGTTTTTTTAAATCAAAAATCACAACTATAACTTGTTTCCTGTATGTATGCTTTCTTTTTTGGTAAAGCTTCCTTTTTCCTGTTTAGTTATGACTCTATAAAGTTAAAACAGTTGGCTTGGTTCAAACTGTTAATGTGTACTTCTCCTTTGCAAATTGAAGTAATGCAGTAATGCAGTATTTGTACTGGACAAATCATTAGTACTCTGATTTTCTCCAAAAATACATTTGAATAGTTTCTGTGATGGCAGCAAGGTAAGATTTTGACAAGCCTTCTAAGAATGAGATACCATTTATTTGAAGAATAATACTCTGTATTATGACAAGTAAGAATTCAAAAATGAAATCATCAGCCCAAAAGTAAATTTAGACTTATTTATCATTACAGAGTGATTATTTTTTTCAGTCTTCAGATTGTGGTTGAAGATTAAATCTTATTTGTTAGTTAATGTGCCTTCCTAGTTATCTACCTTTCTCATTTTAATGAATCTTAATTATTTTTTTAAAATGTTTTCTTAAACTGTCTTTATTATATGATATGAACTGAATGACATTGTGTTTAAATCTATGAAATTATTTTGCCATGTGCTGTTGAACATCTCATGCAAGTTGCATATAGAATTGCTACAAATTTTGCAACATTACTAATTCTGAATTCAGATAATCAATTCTAAACAGATTTAACCTGCTGTTCTAGTTAATCAAATATATTTACAGAACTATTTCTTTAATGCTACTTTCCATGTCAGTGTTTATTTGTGGCACTGTGAAAAATAGCATCTCTTCCTTAATGTTATATGTTTAAAGCCTTTGCTTTAAAAAAACCCAGCAAATCACCCCTTCTTTACCATACTGTTAAATAGTAAGCAAAAAGATTATCTGGGCAGATGAGAATTATTTGGCCTTTGGGTTATCTAACCTGCAAGGTCTTGAGTTTAGCTCTTTTCTCCCCATCTCAATAACTGCAGGTGCCTCAGTTGTATACAAATGGCATTCTGTCTTAGCTACCCCTTTCTTTCTCCTAAGCAAGAGGATAGACATATGTTTATATGCTTGCAGATATTTCAGCTGAAGTCCCTACATATCTGATGCTATCTTGGCTATCTTATATTCACTCTAAATGGGAAGATATATTGGTGATTGAGATTACCACGAGGAACCTCTTGAAATGACTCTTCCCAGAACAAAGGAAGTTATTTAGGTAGAATTTGAATCTTGGCTCATCCAGACTGCACAAGAAAAGGAAGAAATCAAGACATGGTCTTGATCCTGTTTTCCAAATCTGTCTCCATGATATAAATATACATTTAAAATTAAATGTTCCAGCTACGAAAGAGGCACAGACAGTATAACAAAGCAAAGAGTTTTACTTCTCATATTCCTTGAAATAACAATATATGTTTGTAATTTTTTTCACTTTGGGGAAAGAACAAGGAAGTTCCTACCACTGTGACTACCTGATTCTTTCTTGTAGATCAAGGGTCTTCAAACTTGCCAAGTTTAAGACTTGTGGACTTCAACTCCCAGAATTCCTGAGCTAACATGACTGGAGGAGGAATTCTGGGAGTTGAAGTCCACAAGTCTTAAAGCTGTCAAGTTTGAAGACCTCTGTATGTAGATAGTAAGTCTAGAATAAGCACTGATGCTGAGAATTGGAAGAAAATATACTTTTTCTTTTTCTAATCATGTTATCTCTATAACATGTAATCATGTTATAATCATGTATAATCATGTTTTAATGATTTTGTGGATACTGAACCAGTAACCATCAGGAAGGAATCTCAGAATGCAAGCGGAGATCAATGACTCCAAGTGAAGAAGTTAAGGATAGCCTTTTTATAGTGAAATATAGAATATCCTGTGTATGTAATAAGTTACATTACATCCTGTAATATGTATGTTGGGAATTGTCTCGATTCAAAAATAAAATCCAATTAATTTTGAGGTGTAAAGTCTCTTGAAAGTCAGCATAAAATGTCTTTTGATTCATCACACATCTACGCTAATAACCTTTGAATTTCTATATTATAATGCTGAGTATGGCTTGAAGTAATGTCATACTCTCTGTTTTGAGGTCCTGTTTTGCAGATTTTTTAGATTTATTGGGGAAGTCAGCTATTGAATATGTAATGTATTTACTCATGATGTTCTTTAAAAAGAAGAAAATCACTTGCATTTTTGTTTTGAATCATGTACTGAATCATCTTTTGTCTCTTTCATCATGCAATTTCCTAAAACATACTTGGTTCTGATTTGAAATCGATTCAAGTGATAGTTCAAATTCCTCAATAACTCAAAAGAATCTTCTACAATCTTTTCAAACCCATTGCCACTCCTTGAGCACTTTAGTAACAGTTTGGTGTTAAGTAGCAGAAATGTTACTGAAAGCTGTTATCTGAAGTAGTTTACTGATAAAGTTCATCTCAAAATCATTGAAATGTGTAAATTTAAAATTTCAAAATATATTTGCAAGAGAGTCTTCATTTATACACAGTGTATAATTTTAGGACAGTAGAATTAAACTTTTCATTTAGTACCTTATAGATATTTCCAGGCACAAACTGAAGTGCTTCAAAGAGTTAGTGTGAGTTTTCAAATTTGTCTAACTATATTTTCAAAAATTAGAGCATGCAGAGGTAACGATGTGAAGAAAAAATATACATAAGTATTGTGTCAAGTCAAAGCAATTATTTGGGCCAAATAACATTTGGCAGTATCTGATAGTTTCTTATAAATTTTTGCTCAAGCTTGACTCGTGGTGAATTCATGTCCATGTAACTTTCTTGTCAGCTACACAGATATAGTTTGCCTTACATCTTGTGTTTTGTCTTGTTTTTGACCTCCTGGTTAGTCCAGGTATCCCTAAGAAATCCCATTCAGGTTCTAGATGGACTGAGAACCATCCATTTATTTTGGCATTAAAAGGCACATTACCCCTGACATGAAAAGTTATTTTAGAGTTATATTACTTTGCTCTGTAATTAAATTACATTTTCTCAATTCAACCAATCTTGTTTTAAATTAAGTTTACATTATCATACATTTTTCTTAAAAATTGCCATAATTAATTTTATTTTAATTAACTGTTTAATGTATTATCTCTTCAGAGTAAGTGGATTGCAGCAACAGGCTTCTTACCTCTACCATACTAAGTAACATAGGTCAGCTGTACATCCTGTATAATCTCAGGGTTTTGGTTTTTTTTTTTGTAAAACAGCCATACTAAATGAAGTTTACATTGGCTTTAGCCAATGTAGTAAAGTCAGAACCATAGGTTTGTGATTTCCTGTTGGCTTGGGAGAAAAAATATTACTGCAATCACATATATTAGTTAAAAAAATATCTGGTTAACCAACAGGAATTAGATCTGCTTGTTGTCATTTATAATAGAGAAAGAATTCATTTTTTCCCATAGCTTCCCCAGCTGTAGAATGTTCTGCTGAAGTTTTATGTGACTGGTGTGATCTATTTTGTTTATAAGCAGGTATTGTGGTCCAGCTGTGTTTGGACTAATATTACAGATAAGTAATTTGACACTGCTCTGTTGCCATAAGTTAAGAGAGGAATGATAAATTATCTCATCCTCTTCAGTACTGATATCTGCTTGCATATTGTTTAATATGATTTTTTTTCTTGGCTTTCTTTTCTGCTTGAACAAAAACATGAAACTGTATGTCTGTTCACGGTGTTTCTCAGAGGCTCTGATGAATAAGACGTTACAGAAAATGTCGAGAATCCTGTTGGACTCTGGGACAGACTTTTTGTTTCTCTGGAGCAGTGCTTCTCAACTTAGCAATTTTAAGATGTGTGGATTTCAACACATAAAATTCACTAGCCAGTATGCTGGCTTGGGAATTCTGGAAGTAGAAATCCACAGACCTTACAGTTACAAGGTTCAGGGAACACTGCTGTGGAGTATGGTGAAGCAGGGGGAATGAGCAGGGATAGTGGAGAGCCAGTTTGTTGTAATGGCTAAAGGTGGTATTTTAGAAACCAGGAGATGAGAGTTCCGATCCTGCCTTAGTCATGAGAAAGCCAGCTGGATGACTTTAAGCCAGTCGCTCTTCACAACCAAACCCATCTCATGGCTGTTTTTGTGAGAAAAATAAAGAATGAAGGGGAGTATTATGGATATTTGGTGCCTTGATTTACTTATCAAGTAACAAAGGCAGGTTAAAAATCTAATAAAATGAATACAACACCCTTGGTAGTGGTGATGGTAGACATATTTGCACTCAAAATAACATGAATATGCCTCCACCCTACCAGGTCTCTTGATCTTGCATAAGAAAAACAGATATGCAAATTAGTGAGAAATTTAAAAAAACAGGACTTATTTAACAAAAGGAGAATAAGAAAAAAGTATTAAGTCTCTAAATAACAAAATCAAAACAGTGGAATCTAACAGAGTAAGGAAACAATTCTAAAAATTATTCTTGTTTGTATACCTCAGGAGTTAAGCTGGAGATAATTGTAATCCTTTATTCAGTTACTAGTGGAGCAGCTGTCACCATGAAAGATTGGGGGGCGGGCGGGTATTATTTCAGTCCTTCCCTTGTATGGCTTTATTTTTGGGGGATGCCTATTTCTCTCTACTTTTCAGAATCTCTTTCAGCCTTTTGCATTAAAAAAAAGTTTTAAGGACATCCATTTCTTGATCATCTAAGATCAAAACTTTCTGTATTTCAAGTATTCCAGAAAGGCTGCATGCACAATCTTAAGCTCTTCCTCAAATTTCAGATATATGGAAAATTTCATTTGGCTGCAAATGCCAGCACCAGCACATCAGAGGGGGCTGCGCTATTATCATGTAAACCTAACTAACCTTTGCTTCACTGAAGCAAATGGAAGAAAAAGGTTTGATGTCATTGTAGAAGAACTTTGAAAGGCTTGAGAGAATATGAAGATACAGAAAGGTCTTTCAGCCTTCTAGCACTATGTATGAGAAGGATCCTCTTTTCCTCATGTAGCTAACATATAGTTATTGTAAAAAGTTTCTTCACATTGTTGACCGTGTTAAGTTGATTATTTTCTTAACTGCCTGTCAGAGTGTCTGTACAGTCTTGAGCAGAGAATACTTTTTCCAGTCATGGAACTATCCCCAAGTTATTTATATCTTATGGTAACTGAACCAAAGTTTTGCATGCCAAAGTGATATACTGAATTACAACCTTGGGCAAAATACTTTTGTGTTTTGGTGTTATAATTTACTCTAAAATGATGAGGGTTGAGGTGCAATCCACCTGGCACATGTT